AAACATATTGGTCAGCATACCCTTATGTCTCTCAAGCTACAATAATTTGCTCAGCAAATTCATAGATACCTTCTACACTTTACTACTTTAGATTATAAGAACTATATTAAGCTTTATAAAACTACCCTGAGCACATAAGATGCACAAAAAGAAAAAAATAAGTAATAAATTGTCATTAATTTAATACTTTGTAAAATACAGTAATACAAATCATAGTATTCTACTAAAATTTAAGAAAATACAGTTGACCTTTGAACAAGGGTTTGAACTGCGTGGGTCGGTCCACTTATATGTGGATTTTTTTCGATAAACACTATAAATGTATTTTCTCTTATTTTTGAAAGTAACATTTTCTTTCCTCTAGCTTACTTTATTGTAAGAATACAGTATATAACACATATACCATACAAAATATGTGTTAATCAACTGTTTATATTATCAGTGAGGCTTCTGGTCAACAGAAGACTTTTAGTAGTTAAGTTCTGGAGAGTCAAATGTTAATAGTCAAATTTCTGACTGTGGGGCATGGGGTGAGGGCGCAGTCGGCACTCCTGATCCCCACACTATTCAAGGGTCAACTCTATTTGTTTTCATGATCTTGTGGGCTAAACATGTATAAGTTTTCCATCTTCTATTTATTTCATTATATAATCAAAAAGATAAAAACAGAAAGATGATTGCAGAACTCTCTAGCAACATCAAAGCTAAATAAGCTGCATGGTGTAAGTTTTGTGCAACTTCTTCCAGAGCTGACAAAGAAGGAATAGGAAATCCCCTAAGGCAACTGTTGGTATTGCTGAGCCACTCTATATATGTATACTTTTTATTCCAACTCCTTTACCCCTGTTCTAGTTCCATTTTCCTCACCTCATTTTCTCATCTCAGTAGCACTAATATTTCCAGTTATGTTCAAGAGTATTAGAGTTTGCGAAGCATTCTCACATGACATAACCTGCATTTCACAACTCTATGGGGTATAAGCTTCAATTATAGAAAAAGTAGAGCTCAGAAAGGTTGAGTTCACAAAATTTGGTTACCATTACGAATATGAAAAGGATAGTTGTATATATACAATCGACCATTTTCTTCTGCATGTGCCTTATATCTCCCTCCCCCTTTGCAAATTTAGATCTTTGAATTCTCCCCTTTTCAGTCATCATCTCAGTTTGTCCCTAGGTATGCTGAACGTTCATTACTATCTTGCTATAGCAATTCTCTTATTATTTTAGCTTATAATGCCCTGTTCTTAGTAAGGATTGCACTCCTCTGCTTCTATCTGCCTGATAGTCACTTTACTCCTAATAATGTATTTTTGTTTTGTTTTGTTATTTTGTTTTAGATGAGCTGACACCTTTCAGTATTTCCTGTAGTGTAGGCCTTGTAGTGGAGAATTCTCTCAATTTTTGTATGTCTGAAAAGGTCTTAATTTCTCCTTCATATCTAAAGGAGAGCTTAGCTGGATACATTATTCTAGGCTGGTAGTTCCTTTCACTTAATAGTTTAAATATTTGATTCCATTCCTTTCCGGCTTGTAAGGTTTGCGCTGAGAAGTCCAAAGATAATCTAATGGGTTTTCCTTTATAAGTTACCATCTTCTTTTCCCTGGCTGCACTGAGAATTCTGTCTTTGTTGTTGATTTTTGACAACTTTAATACAATGTTTCTTGGTGAACGCCTTTTTGGGTTGAGATAATTGGGTGTTCTATTGACTTCTTGAATTCCAAGCTCCAGCTCATTCCTTAGATTTGGGAAATTCTCGTCCACTATTTGTCTGAAAATGCTTTTTGTCCCTGCTCCCTTTCCTCACCTTTGGTAATGCCCATTATTTTTGTTTCCCCTCCTGATAGTATCAGCTAGTTCTTGTATTTCTCTTTCATTATTTTTCATTCTTCGGTTTCTCTCTTCTTCTTTCTGATTTATTTCTAGATTTGTCTTCAATATCACTGATCCTTTCCTTAATTTGGTCAACTCTATTTTCCAAGCTTGCTATTTTATTTTTCAACTCTTGCAGTGTGTCTTTCATCTCCAGAAGTTCTATTTAGTTCCTTTTGAGAGTTTCAATCTCCTTGCTCTGCTCATCTAGTTGTTTATTTCAATTCCTGAAATTGTTGATTTGAGTTGTTTTGGATCTCACTGAGTTTTTTCAGAAGTACCATCTTGAATTCTCTGTCATTTAAGTCACATATATCTATGTCTGTAAGCTTATTTTCTGGAGATTTTTCTCTTTCTTTCTGAGATGTCTTGTCACCTTGGTTGTTCATGGTGTTAAATGGACTAGTTCTCCGCCTGGGCATTAATGGAAATGTATTCTGTTGATTTCCCAGAAAGATTTATTATATAAAGGTCTCTCTTTAGCCTGCTCCAAAGAAGGCGCTTTTCTTTTAGTTTCCAGTAGGTGGCGTCAAAGCCTCTTGGATCCCTGCTTTACATAAAGCCTAAATGTCTTTTTTATTTTCTTGTAGATATTTAATCACACTTGCTACTCTGTTTCAGTCCCTGTCAGTGTTAGCAACAGTTTTGGTAGCAGTTGCTCAGATTCCCCTGGGGCTCTGCGGTGATCGGTCTCATCAGCTCAAGGGTATGAGGGGAGGGGCCCTCTGGGTTGGGAGTTGGGGGCTGTGGCTCAGCCTCGGTTTTGCAACCTTGGCTGGTAAAAATCAACTGTTGTTTCTCTGCGGTCCCATCCCGTTTCTCTGCTTTCTGCCCTGATGACTGGGCCCTGGTGCCGGCTGCTAGAAGTTCCAGCACTTCCAGGCAGGCTGATCAAGGAAGTCGTTGTACCTTCTCCCCTCCCCCTCCTCCTGGAGGGAGTTCCAGAGGCTGAGAGAGGTAACTTCAGTCTCAGCAACTTTTGCTCAAATTCCCCTGAGGCTCCGCGGTGATCGTTCTCGAGGGTATGGGGGGAGGGGCTCTCTGGGTTGGGAGGCTGGAGGCTGCTTTTGCTCAGCCTCGGTTTTGGAACCTGGGCCAGTGAAAATCAACTACTGTTTCTGCTGTTCCGTCTGGGCCCTAGTGCTGGCTGCTAGAAGTTTCAGCACTTCCAGGCAGGCTGATCAGGGAAGTCACTGCACCTTCATCCCTCCCCCTCCTCCTCCTCCAAGGAGCTCCGGCAGCTGCGAGAGGCAGCTTCTTTATTACTCCTAGTCCACCGCCCAACAACCCTGGGGTTCTGACCTGTGGTACCTCTTATGTGCAGATCCCACACTCAGACGTGCTAGTGTGCAGTCTGGGTGGTTTTTGTTCAGTTTTAGATGTTCAGCTTATTGTTGTTTCAAAGGGAGAGATCTGAGGACATCTCTTACTCCGCCGTGTTTCCCAGAATCGCGAAGTTCACAAAATTTGGAAACAATCAAGGTAAAAGCCAAGTCTTTTGACCTCAAACTTACTGTTCTTTCTATATTAGCATAGACGTCCGTCAAGTTTATTTAGAAGACCAAAAATGGTTGTTGATTGTAAGCAAGTCCTTGATTTTTAAATTTAAATTATGTGCTAGTAATCCAAACTACATTTTAAAATTTTATTTTAAATTATTTCTTCTCTTATCCAAATTCTTTCTGTATACTCGACTTTTCAAAATAATCATGCTGTTTGCTCAGTTATTCTACCCCTTTCTAAACCATTTTTTTAAATTAAGCACTTAATTATCTAGATATCTAACACCATCCTCAGCAACCTCTGTTAATTCTTCAATGTCACTTTACTGAGGAATAATGATTTGCTCCAAATTAAACAGCAATCAGTAGCAAAGTTAATTGGAATCTAGGTATTTTACATTATAATGGAAATCTGTACAAAGCAAAATTGATCATAATTTGTGAAATAATTTTAGCAACATGCTGATCTGAATCAGAAACATACACATATGTATATGTGTGTGTGTGTGTGTGTGTGTGAGACTAAAAGACTGTGTGTGTGTGTGTGTGTGTGTGTGTGTGACTAAAAGACAAGGAAGGCAGGAAGGAAGGAAGAAAGGCAGGCAGGCAGGCAAGAAGGAAGGAAGGAAGAAGTAGGGAAGGAAAGGAAAAGAGAAAGAGCAACTTTTTTGTTTTTTTTTATACAACTGAAGTACAGGAGAATCCTTAATACCCAGGGGAACCATCAATTTAGTATTACCTGAGGATACTCACAGGGAAGCCACAATTCTCTATTAAAGAAACTTAATGCACAGTCAATGAGTCAAAGGAAGACAACTGAGGAAAAGAACAAGCTTAAACTTGAGCCCCCTTCTTTTCTGTTCTCAAAAGCCCTATCTACATACAAAAAGCTGTAGCTTCTATTTAACAAGCATATCACTGAATTCCAACATAATCTACACAATAAAAATGTCTGGGAGTTGAGCCTATTAATGTGCATTTTAACAAGCCTATGGGTTATTCTTAAACTCTGTCAAGTTTGAAACTCTTACCCCATTCACAAACCTTCTTCAATAGTTACACAGTCAAGCTGCTTACTTAATTAAATTCTGTCTGCTCAGTCAAAGGCCCTGAAATGGCAAATAATGCTGCAAGTAATAATATTAAGAGAGAAATGCTGTGTCCTTACATAGATCAGTTTGCCCTCTAACTATGAAACTTACTGGTATTTTTTAAAACACTTGAATTTAAAGCTCACAGGTAGGGGATGAAGGAGTGGAAAAGGAGATAGGGAGGAAGTTAATCAAAGAAAATATACTCCCTGATTTTTTCCTACTCAAAATGAAAAAAGGAAAAAAATCCCAGTGAATTAGGAAAAAAGAACATCTGTAAATTAATACAGTATTAAGTACTAGTATACATATTTTCATTCAATTATAATAGATTGGTCGTTAACGTGCATATATCACTTATGAAACTGGTTATGAAGAGCAAAAGTATTAATAAGTTTTCTTTAATAAAGCAGAGAAAGATTAGAAAAAACACATATATGCTGTTTTTATAATACTAGGTTACTTTTATGTAAAGACTTTTAAAAAGCTACCCTCGTGAATTAAGAATAAAAGACAGATTTTTAGGAAAAAATTACCATTTGGTGCAGTGGGAGGTGACCAGGTGCCATAATATTTTGGCAAATATTTTCGTAGCTCCAAAAGAACACCATCAGTACAATCAGCAGCATAAACCTGAAACAGAGAAATATAACACTTGCATATTAGTTTCTTATAATGCTTTATAATTGCCCTATATATTTATCAAATAAAACAATACTACTGAATCATAATTCATCTGGTATGAGTTTCAATCGGAAGTAAATAGAGAATAAGTATAAAAAGAGTACCATGTGTCTCCAATGAAAAACGATGTATTGTTTAGAGAATCTCAACTATCTAATTCTAGCCTTTCATTGTCCTTGAACTATTTTACAACTAAGCAAGCTGTAGCTTAGTGAATACAAAATATTCTTGTCCATATACATGCAAATAGATTCCAGCCAGAGAAGGTTCAATTGACTTCCCTCCACCCTCTATGGAAAGTGGGAGTTTAGTGCCCACATGTAAATTCATTTCATCTTCCTTTTATTTCATATAAATTTGTGCTTCTTAGATTTCTTTTTCAAACTAGTTTTGCCTGGTTCCCTCATTCAATAATGAGTTTAACCAAATATAAAAGGCAGTTGTGATTTCACTCTTAAAAAAAATTACCCTTTACCTCAATATAAGTCTACTTATTGCTCATTTAATTCCTTGATTTACAACCAGTAATAATTTTAGGAAATACGAGAAATGTCCAGATACCTTGGAACAAGAGCTTTAATTTTTTTTAAAAAAAAACTTGTAAGACATTGTATTAACTCTTTCAAATATGGTCTACCTAATTATCCAAAACCATTAAAATTCACTAGTGTAAAATGCTTATGAAATCTTAGTATTAGAATTCTCATTATATATGTGAAGCCATATTCATGTTGAGTAGTTACACACAGCCTAATTCTACAGAATAAACTCAAGCTTGGCAGAAACTCACCAAATATCTATGTGCTACATTGTATTTCCCAGCCTCCCTTGTTGAAATGTGAACAGAAGTGATAGTAATCACTTCCAGGCCAAGGTGATTAAGAGCAGGGTGTACTTTATTATCCTTCTGTTCTTGGCACAATGACAGTGGAGACAGAGTATTCATGATGACGTAACAAGATGGAGGAACCAAGTATATCTCTATGTTCTAACCTAAAGAAGCTCATCATACATTTACAAGTAAAAAAAGATAAAAGAACTAGAAGAGCAGAGGTAAACTTTCTTCTTTTTAAATAGTTTTTAAAGTAGTAGAACTGGTATTTACTACAACATGCCAAACAAGATAACCTGGAAATGAAGGATAAAATGTAATGAACATTTTTTTTAAATGCACAGTTGAGCTCCCAAAGGAAAAAAGGAAATTCATAGGGATCTAAAATAAAGAGAAAACTAAAAGCCTTAAGCTAAGCGGTGATGTTTGGGTTTCAGAGGTCCACTCTGAAGACTTGAACCAAAAGATCTCTGAACTTAGGGATCAGGCATAAATGAAGACAGAATTATTCTACTAAAATAAGAAGAGCAAAAAATAAAAGTTTAAATACTGAACATGTAAAACTCTTGGCATCTTTTACTCTTCCCTGACCACTACACTGCAAGAAAGCTGATGGCCAAGCTGACTGAGAAGCAGCAGCAAATAAACAATATCAGGAATAAAAAGGGAGTCACAACTAGATACGGCAGAGATTTTTAAAAATACTATAAAAAAAGTTGCCAAGTGGGCAATTTCATATAAAAATATTATCTAACTACATTGCTATCACATGAATGAATAAAAAAATCAAGACATTTAAGTAACTGGTTAAAGAATCACTGATTAAAAATATATCCCTTTTCAGGAAAAAATGAAAGAGGAAAGAAGGATGAAAAGAAGAAAAGGCGGAAAGAGAAATGGAGATAGGCAACAGGCTGCTCTGATGAATTTATAGTTCGATCGAGGTTTTAAGGAACAAAATTTTTATGGAATACAAATTCTCCCACATAATAGAAAAAGAAATGCTCCTCAACTCATTTTATAAAACTAAAATAAACTTGATATCAAAATCAGACAAGAAAAATATGTGAAGAAAATAATAGTAAGGTTCAATTGACTTCCCTCCACCCTCTATGGAAAGTGGGAGTTTAGTGCCCACATGTAAATTCATTTCATCTTCCTTTTATTTCATATAAATTTGTGCGTCTTAGATTTCTTTTTCAAACTAGTTTTGCCTGGTTCCCTCATTCAATAATGAGTTTAACCAAATATAAAAGGCAGTTGTGATTTCACTCTTAAAAAAAATTACCCTTTACCTCAATATAAGTCTACTTATTGCTCATTTAATTCCTTGATTTACAACCAGTAATAATTTTAGGAAATACGAGAAATGTCCAGATACCTTGGAACAAGAGCTTTAATTTTTTTTTTAAAAAAACTTGTAAGACATTGTATTAACTCTTTCAAATATGGTCTACCTAATTATCCAAAACCATTAAAATTCACTAGTGTAAAATGCTTATGAAATCTTAGTATTAGAATTCTCATTATATATGTGAAGCCATATTCATGTTGAGTAGTTACACACAGCCTAATTCTACAGAATAAACTCAAGCTTGGCAGAAACTCACCAAATATCTATGTGCTACATTGTATTTCCCAGCCTCCCTTGTTGAAATGTGAACAGAAGTGATAGTAGTCACTTCCAGGCCAAGGTGATTAAGAGCAGGGTGTACTTTATTATCCTTCTGTTCTTGGCACAATGACAGTGGAGACAGAGTATTCATGATGACGTAACAAGATGGAGGAACCAAGTATATCTCTATGTTCTAACCTAAAGAAGCTCATCATACATTTACAAGTAAAAAAAGATAAAAGAACTAGAAGAGCAGAGGTAAACTTTCTTCTTTTTAAATAGTTTTTAAAGTAGTAGAACTGGTATTTACTACAACATGCCAAACAAGATAACCTGGAAATGAAGGATAAAATGTAATGAACATTTTTTTTAAATGCACAGTTGAGCTCCCAAAGGAAAAAAGGAAATTCATAGGGATCTAAAATAAAGAGGAAACTAAAAGCCTTAAGCTAAGCGGTGATGTTTGGGTTTCAGAGGTCCACTCTGAAGACTTGAACCAAAAGATCTCTGAACTTAGGGATCAGGCATAAATGAAGACAGAATTATTCTACTAAAATAAGAAGAGCAAAAAATAAAAGTTTAAATACTGAACATGTAAAACTCTTGGCATCTTTTACTCTTCCCTGACCACTACACTGCAAGAAAGCTGATGGCCAAGCTGACTGAGAAGCAGCAGCAAATAAACAATATCAGGAATAAAAAGGGAGTCACAACTAGATACGGCAGAGATTTTTAAAAATACTATAAAAAAAGTTGCCAAGTGGGCAATTTCATATAAAAATATTATCTAACTATATTTTGCTATCACATGAATGAATAAAAAAATCAAGACATTTAAGTAACTGGTTAAAGAATCACTGATTAAAAATATATCCCTTTTCAGGAAAAAATGAAAGAGGAAAGAAGGATGAAAAGAAGAAAAGGCGGAAAGAGAAATGGAGATAGGCAACAGGCTGCTCTGATGAATTTATAGTTCGATCGAGGTTTTAAGGAACAAAATTTTTATGGAATACAAATTCTCCCACATAATAGAAAAAGAAATGCTCCTCAACTCATTTTATAAAACTAAAATAAACTTGATATCAAAATCAGACAAGAAAAATATGTGAAGAAAATAATAGTTCAATCTCACTTACTTATGAGCATAACTGGTAAAAATCTGAAATAAAACACTAGCAAACAAAATGAGTAATGAAACAGTAATGAAAAACAGTAATGAAAGCTATTAATTTTTTTTAAATGTCCAAGTAGGTTTTATTCCAAAAATGAAAGGTGATATAATATTAGAAATCTATTACAGCATTTACCACATTAACAGATTAAAGGGGAAAACTCATATGATCATTTCAGTAGACACAAAAAAGATAGCTGAAAAATATTCAATACCTATTCATATTTTAAATTGTTTCCTGAAACAAAAATAGAAAGGATGCTATATATCTTCCCTTTTCCACTTCCACAATTTTCTACTGAAGAACCTGACTTTAACTGCATCAGTGGGGTCCCCTGACCTCTTGTCATTGTGTCTTACTGGTACAACTGACTGTAGGGTAGAAGAGCTGAGGTCAGGTTATTTACATCTCTGGTTCTTTCCTTATCAGTTCATATCTTCTCATAAAGCTACCTTCCCTGGGTTCCAGTAACGACTCCCTCTTCTTTGCCCTTTCAGGCCCAGGGATGGCATAACATTATCTCTAACAGATGGCCTTAAACTCTGACCACACCTTTGTAAACAATCCCTTTATTAAACTGACAGTGTATCATTTGTTTCTTGACAGAACCTTGACTCACACAAAAGGCAATTCCCTTAACCTGGGAAGAAGTACCTTAGAAAGTCACACTTTAATGGAGAAATGTTAGAAGCATAAACTCATAATTTATATTAGAAGCATAAAGTCATACTTTAATGGGGAAATGTTAGAAGCACTTCTGTTACATGAGAGAAAGATGCCCCCAGCATTGCTTCTACTTAGCACTGGATTGGAAGTCTCTGACAGTATATGGATTCCAAAGGGACAAACCAAACTTCCAAACCTAGAAGATATAACTATCTATAGAGAAAACAATTAGAATGTTAGAGAATCTCAGATAAATATGAGTTAAAAATAGTTCAGCAAGATTACTAGATATAAGAACATTAGACAAATATCTATTTCATTCTTATATATTAGCTATCATTGGAAAACAATTTTAAAAATATTTACAATTGAAACAAAAAAACAAGATACCTAGAAAAATAACTAACTAATTATGTATAAGACTTTTAAAGAGTAAATATGAAATACTTTTTTCAAAAAAAGAGACAGTGTATAGCAGTTAAAAGCATATATTCTAGAGTCAGACTGCCTACATTCAAATCCTGGGACCACCATTCACTTTTGTATGTTCATGGTCAAATGACTTAAACTAATTATGGCTTAGTGTACACAAATATAAAATGAAGATAATAACAGTACTCAGCTCACAGTTGTAAAGATTAAATGATTTTTATATTGGTAAAGCATTTATAGCAGTACTTGTTTTTTTTGCATTAGCTTGTATTTTTACTTGTATCTAAACTTAAGAGCTAATGCCATAAAATTCTTAGAAAAAAACATAAGCATAAATCTCATGACTTTAGATCTACGAAGTGACAAAAGAAAAAACTAAACTTCAAAATTTGAAAACATTTGTGCTTCAAAGGACACTACTAAGAAAAAAAAACAACCCAAAGAATGAGAGAAAATATTTGCAAATCAAATATTTGATATGGGACTTGTATCTAGAATATGTAAAGAACTCCTACAATAAAAAAGATAACCCAATGAAGAAATGAGCAAAGGATCTGAATTGACATTATTCCAGAGAAGAGATACACATAGCCAGTAAGTAGATAAAAAGATGTTTAACATCATCAGTCATTAGGGAAATGCAAATCAAAATAAACCACAATGAAATAACACTTAACACTCACTTAGATGGCCATTAAGAAAAAAAAAATACTAACAAGTGTTGGTGAGAATGTGGAGAAACTGAAAGCCTCATACATTGCTGATGGAAATGTAAAATGGTGTAGCCACTTTGAGGAAACAGTTTGACTGTTCCTCAAAAAGGTGTATGACCCAGCAATTCCACTCCTAGGCATATACCCAAAATGAACTGGAAATAGATATTCCAACAAATACTTGTACATGAATGTTCACAGAAGCTCTATTTACAGAAGTCAAAAGGTGGAAACAACTCAAATGTTCATCAACAGATGAAAAGATAAACAAAATGTGGTATGTAAGTATAATAGACTATTCCTCAGCCATAAAAAAGGAACAAAGTACAAACGCACACTACAAAGTACAAATGCATGCTAAAAAGAAGCTAGATGCAAAAGGTCATATATCATATAATTCCATTTATATGAAATACTAAAAAGGTAAATCCATAGAAAGCAGACAGGTGATTGCCAGGGATGGGGTAGGAAGGATAGGGCATCATGCCTTAAACGATAGTGTTTTATTTTGGGGTGATAAATATGTTTTGTAACTAAACAGAGGTGGTGGTTGCAAAACAGTGTGAATGTACTAAAAAGTGTTCCTAGTCATGTGGTTTATTAGATGTTAAGTCTGACCCTTTCTCCCCTTCTGTGGAGATTCGCAATGCACATTAACACTAGGCTCTAAGAAATTCTGTAGTAAAAACTTATTTAAACTCAGCATTTATGAGAAATACAAATAGTCTCTCAGTTAGGTGTTTTTCAAAATATAGGTCACAACCCATTAATTAAAATCAATTTAGTGGATCAGAACAGAAAATACCAGGCTGCACCAGTAAAGATAAGCATTGTATCTCATGAAAGCTTTTGTTTCAGTCGCACACACATTATACTGACATGCTGTCAAATATATTTCTGACTGAGTCACCACCAGAAAACGGAAAAACACTTTGAATACAAAAAAACAAATCTTACCTCACTTACCATATTATAGAATTCTAACTCTCTCGGACCCCTTGGAGGTGGCTGTAACTGTTTCAAAACTGTGCCATCTGGATGTTGCAATATACCTATAGAACAAAAATTGGATTATTAATGCTTTAATAATAGTGTACCTTGCATCCTAGGATAGATTTAGATTTGTTCCTGAAGTTACAGATAAACCACTTTCATCAATTTAAGGGTTTCCTTTTACTTATTTCAGAAATTTTAACATTCAACCAACATGTTTCAGGGCTTGTTATATGCAAAGCACCAGAATACAAATTCTAAATAGCTTGGTTTTATTGTCTCCAACTACTATTTCTTGTATAACCCCTCAGACTTTCTAATAAATAGAACATATGTGTACATTTTTATAGAGACTCTTCAGTAATAGACTTTCCAGGAGATATTAATTTAAACAAGAAGCAAGTTAAAAGCAATAATAAAAATTAATCCCACTTTTATAAAGAAAAAAATGTTAATGGTGGTCTTATATTAATTTTCTACTTGGTCATTTTTTATGTTTCTCTCATCTGTTATAAAAAAGCAAATTATAATTTTCATTATAAATTTTTTTTCCTGATTCAGATGCACTATGTACAGTTGTAGCGATAGAATGAGGGCACCTAGCCAATAGGAAAAGTGGGGGCACCAAGCGTGAAGCAGGACGGGATACCTTTTTATAATCTGCCTACTCAAAGGAGCCTTTTTCTCAAGTCATCATATGTACTAGCACTGGCCCTATCCCTATACCATGAAGACTCATTCCCAAAAACGTATGTTAAAACCTTAAATTTTCATATACTGAGTTTTTACAAAATCATGCTAGTTAGAACAGGGCTCAAATAAAGCTATTTACGGGAGGATGAAGTGGGTAAAGGGGATCAAATATATGGTAACTCAAGGAAACTGGACTTTGGGTGGTAAACACACAATAGAATATACAGATGTCAAATTATAAGGCCTCATCTTTGTGATTTCTCTAGGGAATAAACAATAAAAGAAAGAAAGAAAGAAAGAAAGAAAGAAAGAAAGAAAGAAAGAAAGAAAGAAAGAAAGAAAGAAAGAAAGAAAGAAAGAAAGAAATTAAGCTATTTACAACTTTGATAAAACATGCATGCCACTTGTTTCTATACTCCTTTGGCAAGTGTTAAAAATTTTTAATCATAATAAAAATATAAAATTTAATCAACAGAAGCAGAAAGTCTCAATTTAAGAGCTACAGTTACTGAGTTATTTAAGACTTAGATATAGTATATAAATATTAATCCACATAGATAAGATTGGTTGATAAGCAGTCAAAAGATTTTGGGGATTTAAAAAGTATTCTAAATATAACTAAAAATTACTTTAGAGATATTTTATTCCTGAAGGTTGGGATGTAGAACAAGAAAGGCCTTCACACCTGAGACATTTTCTGGGAGCTAATGAAGAATGGTACATGCAAAGAAGCCTTGATAAACTAAATTCCAGAAGGTGTGGAACATGGAACATTCATAAATAAGGAGAGAACCATGGCAGGGCAGGCACCTAGTCTAGATACAGGTGAACCTACCATTAGACAAATACATTTTAGTGGGCAAGAAAAACTCAGCTTGACTGTAGACAACAGTGTTGGGTAGCATGCTGGATTAGAGACAACAGTACTAACACAAAAACAGATTGCTTGTTCCAGCAATTCTCTCCCACTATTCCCTGCAACATGCCCCGTCTAAGTTTTTAGAAAAAGTAGCCATGAAAGAGAAGATGGTAATCCCAGGCATTCTCCCTGTGAATGAGTTTCAGGATCCAAAAATAAACCAATAATATCTTAAACGGCAGCCAAATTCCTCCCAGCTGAAAAACTGTTGAGATACACACACACACACACGCACGCACGCGCGCGCGTGCAAAGCACTTTGGAAGACTGAGCCAATAACAGATGTACTGAATCTAAGACTGTAGCTCAGCAATAGCTCAACTAAATTCTAGAAGGAATATTACTTATCAGCCTCTAACTCTAACAGAGGAAAGGGCTTAGATTCCATGTGGATCAAAACAAAGCTAAACATAGTGCACTTCATTCTCCACTGTTTAAATAAAATGTGAAAAATCCAATTAAAAATTACAAAACACATCAAAAAAATCAACAAAATGTGATGCATAATCAAGAGAAAACAGTTAATAGAAGCTAACAGATGATTTGTAAGTAACAGATGGTTACAAGTAATTGCAAGTAGCAAACAAGGATGTTAAAACAATTATAAAAATGCTAAAGAAATTATAGGAAAAAATAAATATAAATGCTGAATTGATGAGGTATTTTAGGAGAGAAACAGAAATTCTAAAAAAGACCTAAAGTAGAAGATTAAATAGGAATACTGAAAAAAATTATTTGGCCAATCGGCTCCACTCTAAACATAAGATTACAACAGAGGAACTTCACACTCGTCATACACTGAAGGTGGATTAAGTCTGCTCAAGCTTCTATAACAAAATACCATAGACTATAGTTTAAACAACAGAAATTTATATTCTCATAGTTCTAGAACCTAGAAGTCCCAGATCAAAGTGCCAGAGAGCTGTCTTCCTAGCTTGCAGCCTTCTCACTTTGTCCTCACATTGAGGGGGGGCGGGGGTGGGGGAAGGGGAAGGTAAGAAGGGAGGAAGCAGGGGAAGAAGGGAGGGAAGGAGAGAGAACACTCCCTCGTGTTTCTTTTTATACTAACACTAATCCTCCCTTACGACCTCATTAATCTTAATTACCTCCATAAAGGCTCTATCTCCAAGTATAATCATACTGGGGTTGGTTTTTCGACATATGAATTTTGGGGAACACAACATTCAGTCCATAACAGAAGGTAACCAAAACAACAATAAAATTCAAACTTGGTTCTACTTCTGATTAGACTGGCTCAACGACCAACATTAACAACCTAGCAGAAAAAGTATATTAATTTCAGGTATAAATACTGTTTGCCTAAGTTGCTTCAGTCCTACACATAATGTCTAGAATTTAGTAAAAAAATTACAAGATAAATGAAAAGGCAAGGGAAAAAACACTGTCAAGAGAGAATGCAACAGACAGAAGTTTGAAATGACACTGATGCTAGAATTATCAAAGGAGCTTAAAATAACCATAATTAATATGTTAAAGGTTATAACAGAAAAGGTAAACAACATGAATGAAAAGATAGGAAATTTCAGCAGAGAGAAATTTTGAGAGTTAAATGGAATGGTAGAAATAAAAAATGTGGTAACAGAGACAAAAAATGCTTTCTATGGGCTCACCAGTAGACACAAAATAGTAAAGAGTCAGTGAATTTGATGACAGGTCGACAGAAATTACCCAAATTGAAACACAAAGAAAAAAAAAAGAGAGTAGAAAAAAATCAGAAGAAAGCATTCAAGATCTGTAGAATACAGTCTGAGATAACTATCATTAGAATCCCAGGAAAAAAAAAGGTACACCCATGTTCTTTGCAGCCATTATTCACAATCACCAAGAGGTAGAAGCAACCTAAATGTCCATCAATAGAAAAATAAAAAAAGAATGTGACACACACACACACACACACACACACATATATATATGTGTGTGTATATATATATATATATGTGTGTGTGTGTGTATATATATATATAGATATATATAAAAATAAAATATTTGTTAGCCTTAAAGAAGGAAATTATTTTATATGTTACAACAATGGATAAACCTTGAGGGCATAAGCTAAGTGAAATAAGCCAGTCACAGAAGTACAAATACTGCATGATTCTACTTATATGAGGTATCTAAGGTAGTCAAACTTTTAGAAACAGCAATTACAATGCTGATTTCCAGAGGCTGTGGGGATGGGGAAAGGGGGATTCGCTGTGCAATGATTATAGGGTTTCTGTTTTACAAGATGAAAAAGTCCTAGAGATATGCTGCATTAACACTGTACTATGGACTTAAAAATGGTTAAGACAGAAAATTCTATGCTGCTTTTTTTTTTTTGCCACAATAAAAAAAATTGTGTATTCAGCAGGGTTACAACTATGTAAAATAAATGCATGTTAAAATTTCTATCTCTGGATCAAACATTCTAGGCAATTTTTCCTTTTTTTGGTAACTTTTTCTATAAGTTTTTATAATGAACATACACTGCTTTTATTATTAAGTACATTACATAATAAAACACATATGTGCTAAAATAATTATATATTCTTTACAATCTTATTCATGTAAACAAATTATTTAAAAAGACTGGAAAAAAAATTTTAAGTCAGAGTTTAAGGAAATACTTAAGAAGACAATGGCTAACATATTCTAAAACTAATGAAAAACAAAACCATAGAGCCAATAAATTCAGAGAATCCCAAACAGTATGAAAAAAAAAATTCCTAGGTATTTTAAATCTAAAGACATAGATGGGTTAAAATTAAAAGGATGGAAAAAAAGATATACTAGCAAGTACTATTCATAAGAAAGTTGGTATAATATATATCAGACTGTATTAATAGACACAGTGGACTTCAAGAAAAAGATTATCAAATATAAAGAGGAACATTTTGAAACGATAAGGTCTATTTATTAAGACAAAACAATCCTTAATATGTGTACCTAATATTAAATCTTCAAAATACATGAAACAAAAACAGAGACCTGAAAAGACAGACAAGCCTACAATAATGCTCAATAATTGATAAAACCATACAGAACCTTAATATATTAATAATATATAAAACTTGAACAATAATATCAAACAACTTGACCACACTGACACTTACAAAATGCTATATCCAACAGATTGTTTTTTTCCTGTACAAATGGAACATTTACCAAGACTGACCATGTGCTGGACTACAAAAACAAGTCTACAATCTAAAAGGGTTAAAATCACAGAAAATATTATCTGACCATAATGAAAATAACAATAAGGTATTTGGGAAAATACCGAATAGATAAAAAGTAAACTCACTTCTAAATACATGAATCAAAATTCACAAGGAAAATTAGAAAATATGTTTAGCTAAATGATAATGAAAACTCAATATATCAAAATTTGTGGAATGCAGCTGAAGTACCACTTCGTGCTTAGAGGAAAATGTGCAGTTTTTTTTT